TTTTTTGTTCGCACATGATTCAAGATGGAACTTTGAAAGCCCTTATTTGTAAGATGAAAGAAGATATCAAAAGCAATTCCGCAACTACGAGGAAAATAGCGTATTTTTCATATATGAAAAATAATCCGGGCGCGCGAGGCATCTCGGTTGGTAATGAGCCTTTAAGAAGTCTTGGATAAGAGTCGCGTAGTAAGCCTAAATATGAACATGAAAACGATACATTCATGTGGCACATTTGTCTATAAGAAATTTCTCTTACGCGTTTACTACTTTGTGGGGGACTTTAACCAGACTCTAGAGCCCACGAAAGAGCTCCTGTCAGAATGCATAGTGCAGTTGACGATTTTTTAAACGAAACTTAACAAGTCCCCCAACCTAGGGACATTTGAAAACAAATCTTATGCATTACGTTATTTTAAAATACACAATAAGATAAGACCTTTGAACACAAACCGCTGCATAACCTTAGCACTTAGCACTCTTAGTTACAAACTGTAACTGACGCATAAACATACTACAACGACGCAGTAATCAAACAATTCGTTTCTAACATTAAAAGTGACGTCAACAGTGACACGGATTCATAAAACGAAGGGATTTTTAACAAGAAAGACTCTTGCACTCTAGCATCACTTTCGAATGTGTCGTTGACACCAAATGGGTTCATAATTCAAGGCTACATTTGACAGCAAGTATGCGACTGCCTCAAGCTCACCTTCGGTAGTAACACAGCCGTACAGGCGAATGACGTGAGGGTGAGGATCAAGGTGTTTAAGGACTGACATCTCAGACAACAGGTCTCTCTTCTCTTTTTCAGAAGCATCCTCTTTATAAAAAACACCAACGGAAAAAATTCAGGTTGAAACTGGAATGATCAAACTTACAGTTTCTAACTTCTTTCCAACACTCGTTTCACCTAAAGTTCACTATGTCGACGTTTTTTGTATCAAAGCTCGATGGTTCGAAACGTAAATGTATTTCTTGTTTTTTGTTTTGCTTTGGTTTTCTTTTTTTTTGTTTAATGAAAGAAAAAAAATTAAGAAATGTAACCTTCAACACTCTTCACTGCTACCACAGTCCATCCTGGTTTTCCCGGCAGGTCTAATGCCAAGCCTCGTGAGACCACGCCAAATGCACCACGTCCAATGACCTTCTCTACATCCAGCCTTGCTCGTGGTATTTCCCATTCAGGGTCACCGGGGGAGGATAAGTTGCAAGCTCCATATGCAAAAGGCTCGTTACGTATGGCTTGCAATCCCAAGGACTTCCTGACGACAAATAACATCAGAGCTTAGGTTATATTCAGTGATAATGCTTGAAATAACGGCAGAGATAACGGGAAAAATATCTGGGATTGGACATAATCACGGGAAAACAACATTCGGCCTAAATATGTTGGTTCGCTTTTAGTCTATTTGTCCAATCGTTATTTTTATAAATGTTCATTTCGTGGAAAAGCTGCAATTGTGTACAATTGCCTTCTGTTTGACAGGGAGTGATAGTTTATTCCAGAGTTAACGAATACATACGTGTGGATTTCACTGGCTTCTTCACCTGAAACAATGAGATTAATTAACGTTACTCACAGTATCTATAGCGACCAGCGTATATAAATATAAAACAACGTATGTCAAAAACATTTAGTAGGTCGGTTTTGAATAGATATTTACTCACATGTTCGTTGATTTTTCTGTATTCTGGATCTCTTGGCAGCATATCGCCAAATGAGGAAAGCGAAAATCGTGATCACCGCTAAGCCCGCTCTTATAGACAGGTACATGGTGAGTGTCTCTTTACCACCTGTTTGCAAGAGAAGAGTTCTTCTTAAATTATTGATTAGTAAGATAATCTAATCAGTATCAAGGACATGAAACTAAATTAAAGATCCTAAAAGGACCCAGGAGATCCTAAGAAGACCCAGGAAAACCTACAATATTGAAGTAACATATCGATATTCAATATCGATGACTGGTTCGACTAGCTTCTCTGCATTCTGTAAATTTGAAACGAAAGGTGATTGAATATTTAATCCAATGAGCATAAATCAGCCAAGCTGCACATGCATGACTTAGTTCTAGACAAAATAAACCGTAAAGAGTTTAAAAGCCAACGTTTCGAGTTCTAGCCCCTCGTCAGAGCGAAACTCACTCTGACGATGGGGGATTGCTCGAAACGTAAAACGATGTCATGTAAGGGTAAATAACGTCAAATAGAGTATGCGGCATGTAGACTTTGAGGAAAAAGTAATTTTTTTACAAAGGACTCAAACACTAAAAGCAATACCCGTGAACTCTTCTCCTTATTAACTAACCTGCACCTTTGGAAGCACCTGTTTCGGGTTTACCATCTGATCCCGTGACGTTGGTGATACCTAAAGGAAATTTCACGACTCGTGAGTGCATGGATTAGTAAAAACATTATACGATCAGGCTAATTACTTTAGTGCATTTAAGCAAGGTTAGGTAGACCAATAACCTGGACCTGGAATGCAATACCCATGATTGAAAGAATTTGTGACCAGACTGTCACAGTACTTACGCTTTTCTATCAACGTGAACGTCACCGAGTCAAATCCTAACTTATTGCTTGCTACGCATTTGTACATGTAGTTTTTCACGTAACTGTCATTTATTGGTGTAACTGCCAAGTAACTTGAGTTTGAAGTATTTGAAAAGCCTTGCTTAATATCTCCACCTTCTGTGTGCCAAGTGAAGATCGGGAAAGGATTTGCATCGGCTGTACACTCAAGCATGGTTGAATTTCCTCGTGTTAACTCCAAAGTCAATTGTTTCCTAGGTTTGAGTATTCTCGGTTTATCTAAAAGAGAGAAACGAAATTCACGTAAGGTTAAGGTGGCTCGTACCAGTTTCCTCGCGCGGGGAACAGGTCACTCTTGCGTGACGCGCGCGAGAGAAACGTGCGAAAGAAGCGCAAGATCAAAAGATGAAAATTCAAAACAAAGATGGCGGTGCGTGGAATTTTTTCTACTTTTAAGA